ATTTAAATTATAGTTAATTATTACTGTTATATATTACCAGAGCATAAAGTTACTTACCAGTGACTGTTAAGAAGACTTTGCAATATTAGAATTGGATTATGTGATTTGTTCTTTTACTTCATAAAAATTAAGGTGATCGCAATGATTAGTGCTTTTTGGAAAGTTTGATATGTTGAGTGCTGTGCCGCAGTCTTTTCTGAGATATAAAAATATTATCTATACAATTACATAAGCTTTCTTTGCTCTCTCTACTTGCACTACCGTTACTCTAAAATTAAGTCGTTCCAGCTCTCTTTCCTCAATTCATATTGTAAAGAAGACCATAGATATACAAGTACAAGTGGTTTCATATCTTTTCTATTGTAAGAATCTCCTTTTATAATTGAAAACTGTGCAAGAAATTAGCACATTAGCACATACAGTAACAAACAAACTTCTAAGCTTTGCTACTGGGCTAATCCTGAGACCAAATTTGTGTTTGTTACTAAATGTATTACTCACCAACTTCTTCAGAAATGCCCCTCCTAAGCTCCTGAATTTACTCTGATGGCTCTGGAAAATCCCGTGTGGCGCTAGAACACCTGATTTGATTCAGATTCTATAGGAGATATACAGAAGCAATGCAAAAAAGAACAGAATATCGTTAGTAAGATTATTTCATTTTATATTTCATTTATGCAAACACAAAATACCACTAGTCAAATAGATGTAAAATTCAAGCATCATCATGAGTTTTCCTAATTTATTGAAAATTGATGACTCCTCAGCACATAGCAAGAAAAAAAAGATTCACAGGAACATTATATTTAGACATAATAATTCCAGAACAAAATGCTCTCGTTAAGCAAAACTGTTTTCTTACAAAATTATCACATTTCTCCTTGAATTTGTCAGTCTGAGAGGTAGGCAGGCAACAAGATTTCTCAAGGCACAGAAAATGGGTCAGTAAGGGGAGCTCAGTAAATGCAAGCATGGTAGATAATATGAACCTGAGAATAGAGATACAACAATATCTCAACCAACTTAAATCAAACTCAAAACAAAGACAAAAAAAGCAAGAAGTTAAAATCAACAGCAAATATTAATCATGAACTCTTATAGTTAAAGAGCCTCCCACGCAATGGTATTGCCTGCAATGATCTTTAACTGTAAATTTTTTCCCAAAACTTACAAATACTGCAGTCCCAGGGAAGGAAGAAAGGGCAGGAATGAAATATAAGGATTGCAGAACAGGAAATGAAATAGAAGGAAGAGCAAATTGGTAAGTACTAAACTATGTTTAGAAAAGAATACCAGGTCACAAATACGACTACAGTTAGCAGATCATCAAAACCCTGTTTCTGCCACAGTGTTCAGGAGTACTTTCATTAAAATAAAGAGGACAGCTGATATTTACCTTGTATGCTCACTGTCAAAACCCTGTTCAAATGTTTCCACTTGAAGTCAGTGCCAATATAACACCTTTGTAAGCCACAACCACAACTTGTATCACTAGACCTTTCGTAAACAATAGATGGCATTTGTACAATTTAAACTACATATATAATCATATAAATCTTTAACTAAATGTTAGGTCAACTTATTAAAAGGTGACATAATTAGAAAAAGTTCAATTACAACTCTTACCTAAGGCTGGCAGCCAGTGCTACATGATTGAGAAAACTAGGTTTCCAAGCTTCTACTCAATCATATTGATAACAGAGACACAAGTCTTAAAAAAAGGGGTCTTCAAGAGATATTATCAGTCACTGACCACAAAAAGCACAACAGACTTCACTGATTACAAACAAAAAGACTTTGAAAGAAAACAGATATTGATAATTGTGACTTTCAGAGTCACACGTGCTTCCACCATTTATCAATGAGGAACATAAGGAATTGTATAAAGACTAGGACTCAAGAAAAAAAAGAAATAAACAAGGAAACCTAAGACAACCCAGCCCAACCTATAATCATAGATTGAACATTGTAACAAAGTGTTCACATCATGTGCGAGGATTTGTCAGTAGAATATGTGACTTGTTTAAAATGAAAAAATAACTGAGAATTTGGACTAAAGACTGGAACGTTTGTGACTTATTAAAATTGTGATAGCAACCAGGAACCAATAGGGAAAATGGCTATGAATCATACCCTGAATAATATATAGGTGGGTAGGAAAGAATATCTTTAATTTAGATGCAGTGCATTACACAGTGGAAAAGGAAAGAAAATTTGTACTTTACTGTGAAGGTGGTCCTTTCATTAGGTGAAAGTACAATCATAGAAAAGATGCATGAAATAGTGGTCGGAACACACACACACTGTTACTAATACCATCACATTTCTATCACATATAAGATAGAGTGCAATCAGCACTTCAATAAAAGCACACGCTTATTTGCACACGTGCTGCTCTAACAAAATCTATTTGGCTAGCACAATCTTCAAGCTATTTTTAGGGGAAGAACATCCTTTGCAAAAACGGTACGTTCTCATAGCAGCAAAGGATATTTATTAATTTAAGTGACTCTCAACATGAAGCTTATTCTACTATATAACAGTATAATTTCATGATTTACCAAAATATTGTGCAGCATTAGGAAAGCGTTCAGCAGAAAAGTCAGGATTGTTCGCTAGATTTGCTCTAACAGTGGCTCGTAACTGTTCTCGATAAGCTTCCCGTAGTCGAGGGTCTCTGCCTGCTTCTTCTTGTACAAGGGAAAGGCCTGCTGTTGGTACACCAGATGACTGAATGGCACTTTCCATATTAGCTAAAAAATAAAAATGAAAAGAGTTGTTTAAAAATAGATAGTACTTGAATACTTGGAAGATTACTTGGATGTTTAAAGGTATACAAACCTGATATAACTTCACTCAGAGAACCATGAGGTCGGCTGGCGGTGACTACTTTACGCCGTTTGGGCGGCATACCTGCCAGGTATGCATCACTTAGAGGTGCTTGTGAATTTGGTCGACGTTGACGAGTGGCATCTCTAGTGATGATTGGAACCCACTCCTGACATCATACAATAAAACATCATTAGCTTCAGACTCTTCAACAAAAAAAGATAAATATTGAGCATTTTGTATTTGCTCACCGGAGGAAGAATTCTATGCCATGCCTCAGGTGCAGGTGCAGGAAGTTCTGTGTCCATAGGGGCAATCTCAGATGATTCAATGGTGTGTGCTGCAGTGGCTCCTTCTGAGCTGTGAGAGGGGACATCTAAGGACACGGAAGATGCTGATGTAGTAGGCTGGTGTGGTGACTGAGAGTCTGTGTCCATAGGCTGATTTAAAAAATAAAGATACAACAAAAAAACAAAAGTTATAGAAGGCCCACAATTTTAATGAACACAAAAAGTATAAAGATTAATAAAAAGAGTGGTACATACCTCAATTGTGGTAGCAGAACTCTCGCAAACAGGATTTTCTAAAGATTGCTCCATTTTCATACATTCTGGTGGAGTACAAGACTCTGTAGAAGTAGAGGCATGGCTAGGCACTGGTACAGTCTCCTCCACAGTGGTGCGACAAACAATATATGGTTGGATATCTTCGAAGGGTACATTACCAGATACACTATTTAACTGCTCAAGGCAACTTCTTGCTGCCACTGAAATTAGTGAACCTCCCTCTGTTATGCGGTTCTGAAAAAAATACAGATAGATAATTGCTTTGACAACATTAAAACTAAGATCAAACTTGAGAAACAAAGAACATACCAAACATGACTGAAATACAGTCTCAATAGCGTCATTATTTGCACAACAATGTTTGATAATAGCAAATAGATTACTCAAATACTTGTAATACATATCATGAAGGTTCTGCCCAAAAGTTGAGGCATGGTCTGAAAAAAATAATTAGAACAACTGTCAAAAATATGCATATCAGAGGGTAGGAACATGGAAGGATGTATTAAATATCACCATACCATCATCAAGAACCAATTTCAAAAATTCAGGTATAACGGATTCATGGAAGCGGCTCAAAGTGGCTACTGCATCAATATCCTCTCTGAGTGCTCCTTCAGTTATAATGTTAAAGTGAGGTCTAAGCTCTGTCATAAGGAGATTAGTTCCTCTTTCTAAGTTCTCTTCAGTTGGTGAACCCTCACAAAGGTGCTGAACTACATAATGGCGTAAATCATTTCTCACATGGTTTATAGCAGCCCAGTTACCTTCCACAAGGGCCATCAGATCTGATACTGTGACACTTCGAACCTAAATGTGACCGAAAAAGGAAACGCTGTAAAAATACTGTTACAATATAAAGAAGTTAATTTTAATAAATTAACTCACAATTGTCAGTCGCAAATCTGAAAGCAGTGATTCTCCTTCTTGTTGGGTAGACCCAGGAGAAATCCAATTGATGATTGGCACCTAGATAGAAATAAAAACTTAAAAATTAGATAGAGGTAAAAAATAATTAAAAGCAGTAACTTATGTTTAAACGAACATCAATTCCATTTTCTTGAGAAGCAGTAGCCAATGAACTCCACATATCTCCTCCAGTTGATGGATTTCCTGGCAAAACAATAATTTCAAATCAACAGGCAGGTACAGAAAATATTTTAAGAAAACATAGAAACAAAAGAGAAACATACGACTTGTTAGTGTCTCCAAAATGTTTTGGAAAGCTGTTTCTGGACCAACTAAGGAGACAGGACGGAAGAGGGACTCAATAAGATTTTGCAATGCATTTGGTCCAGACAGATTTTGACTCAAGTTTTGAGTAGAAGATGAAGATGATGCTGCAGAAGATGCGGATCCTGATGCATTTGCAGAACTAACAGATGGTCCAGAGGCTGGAGCAATGTTGCTCGGGGCGCTACTATTAGTTTGAGTTGCACTGTTGGCAGTAGTTGATGAACTGCTATTGGTGTTTGGGCGGGAGCGGCGCCATGACGCGAAGAATTGTGAGTGGCATGGCAAGAAAGGGTCAGTAAATCCGCCCACTTGCAAGCCTGTCCAAGAAAAATATTATTAATGTTATCATAATTAATATAATTGCAGAAAGAGCCTGAGAGTTAATTCACTTTTTCATGACTATTGAAATAAGTACAAACCAGGAAATGGAGCAGTTGCAATATGGTGTACTTGAGGGCGGGCTGTTGAGCGTGTTTGAGTTGATGTTGTTGGATGAGTGGCAGTGTAACCTCTTGCCTGGCTTGTCTGACCTCCAGTAGCTCCAGGGGAGGATGAGGCTGATGGAGTGCTTCCAGCAGCAGGAACATTAGCATTTGCACTAGAACTGGCATCTGTTTCAGATTCTGGTGCACTACCACGTCGTTGCAGATTGGGGTTTTGTGTGCTTTCAGGGGCACTTCCTCGGCGACGCAAGTTTGGGGTAATTATTCCATTCAAGGCATGAACAACTCCCTGCAAGAAATCCTGTGGATGGCCTCCCCAGGGAAGGTGCATGTTTAGAGCTGAAAAAAGAAAGAAAAGGTGTTACCAACATGTACCCACCCAAAATTTCAGTTGAAACCATCTGAAACAAATTTACTTACGGTTTCCATCTGTTGTGCCATTAGTACCAGGAGTGAAACTACCACTGGTGACCATTGTAGCCTCTAGAGAATCAATGGTGATAGTGCTTGGGCCAACTTCCATGAAGAACTCTACATTAGTAGGAATGTCAATCATTCCAACAGGCAGAGTGACAATAGATCCACCACGGCTCTGTTGAGCCTGCTGTGGTTGCTGTGGCTGCTGCGCTTGTGGCTGATTTGGCTGCTGTTGCTGATCTTGTTGCTGCTGAGGTGGTTGTTGTTGTTGTTGTTGTTGAGAAGGAGCAGCCTGGTGAGGTATTGGATGAGTTGCTAAACGATTTGCAAGAGCAAGTGCAGCACTCAGCGCAGCATTCAAGCCTGGATTACGATTAGAAATGTCTATGGAGGCTGTGACAACTGGTGAACGGTTGCTGGTGCTTCCATTTCCTGTGGTGTTAGATGCTCCGGGGGCTGTTTCAAAGTTTGCTGCAGGGCGAGTTGTGAAAGTGGTGGTAGCCTCTCCACCTTCAGCTGGGAATGTTGTTGTCATGTATGTTACTTCAGGAGCAGTGCCTGAACTACCAGATGATGCTGATGCAGATGGAGGAGCAGATGATGAACTTGTTGATGCACTTGCAGATGATGAAGCAGTCGACCCAGATGTTGCTGTGGAATTACCAGCATTAGCAGCTGCTGTTTGAGCCGGCTGGCCAAAAGCTGGAGGGGGAATAGTTAAGCCCCAAGTATTCATACCTTCTGTCAGTTGAACAAGTTGCTGAATCGCTGGGGCTAGTAAAGGACGCATTTGCCTTGGTGGAGCTAGTTCCCAGTCAATAGTCAGCTCACTGATGGCATGGTAGGCATGTGAAAGAAGATGAAGAACTTCCGGCACAGTTTGAGTCAAACTCAACCTTTCTGCCAATTGCTGGGGATTGTTTGTTGGAGAATCCTCAGTTATTAAATTGTGATAGCGAGTAAGGAGAGGATCAAAACGAGTTTGCAATGCACGTAGTTTTGTCATCAATGCAGCCATGTTGCTTGTGGAAGGTGTTCTGTGAAAGATATAAGATAGATATAATGCAAAATATTCCAAAATTCTTATAAGATAGATTTGAACTCTTTCCAATACAAACCCTCTCTGCAGGCGCTGCTGATTAGAGTCAGCAGACGACCCATCTTGAGAAGACCCTGCTGTATTGGTTGAAGATGATGCTAGATACAAAAATAATCATAGGTTTAGAAAATCAAAGTTTTAAAAAGTACTATATGATGCCTGTATTTATTTATTTTTATGAACCTACCTCCTGCTTGATCAGCACTGCTAACAGTAATATGAGGAGTAGAAGGATTGTTATCTGTATCCATTTCAGTATCCATTGCTGTTCCACCTTGTGATGGAGCTGGCTCAGATGAAGCTGTAGTAGTGGTTGCTGCATTTGTTCTTAAAATCATAAACCATACCACGTTACTAAAAACAGTCAAATACTGGATGCTAGGTGATAAAAATTTGAAGGAAAAAATATCATACCTAGCTTCTGAGGTAGCTCCTCTTCCAGGCTGAGAAGGTTCTGTTGCAGGGCTGTGACTGCCACTAGAGTCCCTTGAACTGTTATATGGAGTAGTAGTGGCAGAGGCTGCCGCAGATGTTGATCTTGAGGCAGAGTTTTCATGGTTATCAAGAACTTCTGTAGCACGCTGAATCATGCGGTCAGCCAAATGCATTATTCTCCATGCTCTGTTGCGGCCACTCCCTGAGTGAAAAAAATTGGCGACAGTAAATACAATAGACACCTCAAATACAGTAAACAGTTTTCTTTCAAAAAAGTGAGCATAACAGGATTACCTGTCTCACCCACAACAGGAATGAGCACAGAGCCAAACATGGTGCCGCCATCAACTCGGCCAAAATAACGGGCTCCTGAAGACCTATTGGCATTTTCAGAGGAACTTGTGCTGTTAGAGCTATTGCTCCCATTTGGTCTGGATCCCGGTTGAGGAGGTTGGGATTTAACCAAGTGAATCACCATACCATGAACCTCTGCAAAAAACAAACAGTAAATAGAACAGGGAGTTTTAGAGCTAAGGCTACATAGTGACATGCAGCATGTCTGCTCACCATATTCAGATAATTTCTTGTCATCTTGCATAACCCTTCCCTGGAAAATTAATCGTTGACGATTTGCTGGAATGCTCATGGTTTCTTCAATTTTAGTCTTCAACTGGAGAACAGTTGCCTATAGACAAAAGAGACAATATATTTCAACTCAAGAAAATATATCTCCAAAAATATCTATTTTTAAAATTAGGGGGTTTGACAACTCAAGTAAAATCAAAACCACCAAACAACTACTTACATCATCAGGCATGGAAAATGCATGATTGCGAGAATCAAGTGTCTTCACAGTTAGGTCAATCATTTTCAATTCTGAGTCTGAAAAAAAGGACAATACTCTGAGAGTGTAGGATAGTATGTAAAATAACAACATCATAGGCTAGGTTTTAGGAGTAGTATGTGTCAAAACAGAATAATAGTATGAAGTTCATAAACAAGCTAAAGGAGAAAGCAAATTCAGATTTTCAGGAAAACTGATGTCGAATTGAACTATGGCATAGACCGGCACAAATAATAGAAATTTTGAACCAAATATGCTAAAAATTGGCATGTCATTGAAATGTAAAAGCTACTACTTTTCGGCATACAAAAGTGTTAACACAAAGACCAAGACAGGTTAGAGGAAAATTACGAATGTGTAAAAGCTGGTTCCAAACGTACGATAGATCTTACAAACAAAGCAAATCTTGGAGTCACTAGAAGAGGTATCCTGTGGTCTGTATGTCGTCACCAGCCCAATACAGGCGCACTTACCTAGTACGGATAATGAAGTGAAGATAAATGCGAATTCCTTCAATAGATGAAAAGAGGCGGTGACATGAACGGGAATTAGCGGAATCCCCGCATTTTCGCAGTAGAAGCGCAAGATAAATTGCAAAATACTTTAATCCGAGCTATCATGCACTACTACGCGAGGAACCTTCACAAAACAAATGCGTCCTATGAGCTTCAGAGCCGCCAGGTACACCACCGTGAAACGACTACATGTTGTAGGGCAAACATTTTTCAAATTGGAGTCTTGTGTCAGTAACTACTTCAAAATGATTCAAACGTGTTCTGTAACGTTCATAGACTTGTGAAGCTGCTGGTTGGTCGTAGAAAAGCGTGCACATCTTCTGTGTTCTTTCAGATGTATGTTGGCTAACGTAACAGAATGCATTCCTTCTTCTTCAAAGTTCAAGTTTTATTTCAGCTGCACCGAGCTGCATCTTATTGATGCATCATTCTAGTTTTAAAGCTATTTTCAATTTTCAAGCCAGTGATATCCCTAGTTTCTTATCTACTTCGTAGTTTAACACCAAGACACTTGCCGTCAAGGTTGGCTGTTGTACAAGTAAATTATTTCTGCAGTTTGATTAGATTGATTGCAACATTAGTGCAGGTTAACCCTTTATTATTTTTTTGTTTCAGACAGCTTGACATCATTTTTCTGTAATTTGGACTGGCGATACTGATGATTTAGTGGCCGGAAACTCTCAACCTACCTTCGTTCGTAATGTCCTTTCTTTGGAGTAAGTCATTAACTATATGCCTTACTGCTCTTATGAGAAAGATAATTGTATGCTTCTTTTATTTTTTGCTACATACATTTTTGTAATATGCTTGCATAAAACATAGATTTACCAAACTTTTAGAAACATTTTCATGTCAGGAAAAAGCCAGACCTACGCGTTGGGTCCCTACAAGTTTTTCAAAGGTTGGGGAACGCGTAGGGTGGATAAAATTTTGATTTTACAAAGAAACAGTGCTTTGACTCTCTTGAAAAGTTTAGTTTATCAATGTAAAGAGGGGCTTAACTATGCATTTGTTAAACTGATTTTAGCAATGTGTCCAATAGAAAAGGAACGCGTTGCTTGGTAATAGTCATAAAGTCCCATGGAAAAGAGAACGCGTTGCTTGGTAGTAACTAGGCATGGAGGGACCTTTGATACAGGTCATAAGGTTCTGGCTTCATGAATAATTTCTATACACTAATGGCCTGAAAGGCTCACTTAGAGCCTAGATTATGCGTTGGTAAGAAGTAGTTTGAAAAAATCATTTTTGCTTGAAAGGAACGCGTTGGTTTAGGGTCCAGTTGATTTCCTCAAAGAAGCTGTGCTGTTTGCCTTGCTGTCCTGAACCATATGCCCCATCAGGGAGAGGGTATCGTTTGCATGGAAGGGTACCCATATGCAGTTTCTAGAATTATCAAGGCTAGAATGACTTCTTTTACTGAAAATTGCTATGAAGTTGATAGAACTGAAGTCCAATCATAGTCCTTGGCAATATTTTTTTCCATGGTTGTTAGTATTCTCTACCTCAACCCACACTTAGGGTTTTGTTCTTATGTTCTAAATATTGTATTGGTCCATAAATTCTGAATTTTAATATATAGTGTAGATGGGTTTGCTCTGCTTTATTAATATTGTTCTATCCAAATTTACTGGGGTTTTCAATAGACACTGTGCAATGTCTGTGGGACATGACATATCTTAACTGTTACCCCATATGTTTCCAAATTTGAACTGTCAAGAAATTTGATTGTAACTCCAAAGACATTGGTTTGCCAGTATCCATTCACAATACTAGAATGACATCATCCATATATCTTGTATTAATGTCAAAAGGGTTTTGGCTTGGTCACAAAACTTTCTCAGTTACATTCTTAATTACATTTTTAGGAAATGCATTGACCTTACTCCTAAAATTATTTTTAACCAAGGGAATGCATTGAAAGGTGTACCTTTTAGTCAAATTTAATTTATTGTGACAAACAGAAAGCTAGTGAAACTTTATGTTATGAACTTTCAATATTTTTTTTAGTTTTGGTAGTCAACTGACCATGGTAGCACAGAGTTTAACACCATCATAATAGTGTTTCAAGATCTCCACATTAGATGACATCTATGTGTACAAGAAATGCTTGCTGCAACCATCAATAAGCCTCAAGCGTCATAATGAACATATAGATTGTAGAAGATTGTACCCTTGCAGCATTCAGGTGGGCCTCCAATTAAACCTGGAACCCATCACTCATCATTTCAGATTTTGCTGTTATTGATGCTGCCCGAGTTTGATAAATGTAAATTGGAAGTTTATGCAGATTTATGCAGCAAAATCTGTAATGATGGGTGATAGGTTCCAGGTTTCATTATTGGAGGACCACCTTTAGTTTTTGAATCAATCCCGCCGTTTGTCGCATCTCGAAACAGGAAGTAGTTCTTGCACAAAGGGTTCGGTCTCGTTCGGTCGGTCAGTCCCGCACTTCCGGCGCTCAGTGCACCATGCGTGGTATCGCTGCTTTTAACCCAGTGCACAACTTTGCTTCATGTTTGCTTAATCGGATTGCGTTGGTTTAAACGGTTAAACTTTGTGATTAGGTCTCCTAGGTAATTCGTGCATTCCTTGAAACATTCGCATGAGTTGTTTGGCTATCTGTTTTGCACCATGTTACAAAAGAAGCTGTCGGGTGCCTTTCTGTGTCCGTGTAGTCGCATCTTGGCTCCCGAGGTCTTCCTTTGGCTTGGTCCCTGTTAACTTTTTTTTCGTCCCTAGGCGCCGGTAGTTAGTTTTTCGAGGAAATATTTGTGACCCTATTGCTTCAACAATATTCATAGAGTCAGCTAAAGGAGTTAATGTCCATGAATAACTCCTCAAATGTAACATCACCTTTTGCACACATTTTAAGGACTAAAGCTACGTAGAGGTTATGTCTGTTTCGGCGGTAGCCTAAATATTATTATTTTTTCCAAGGGGTGTGGCCGTTGTATATTATCTATTTTGTATGTGCAGTAGATCATTCAACTCAAACTTGCTTGTCGCCATACTTCTGTAATAAGTAAAAGTTATATGCATTACTTCAACACTAGTATACTTTGTTAGGTTTAGGGGCTCACTTTCCAGCTCATTGTCTCAGCCTTTGCCCTTAAACTTTAAAAGAACCTCTGTTGCCCGAGTTGGGGCCCCTATTTGCAGTTTATTAGAATTGAGTAATGCTTATTGGAGTCAGCCCATTTTTTTCCACACTAACTATTAATGTGCAATTCTTTTATTTCAGGTCTGTGAGACACTGCTGATTTGGCCTGATAGCTCTTTTCACATTGTCAACTCCAGGTGCCTTCCATATTCTCTTCAGTCATCTCTTGGGTAAGTTTTTAAAATATGTTACATTAACCTCAATACAACTGCAGCAAGTACTCCACTTACTGATTAGTTAAATTGCTAGATCCTAACTTTAAATGCCCACTGGTAATCCAACATGGCTTTGTACTTCTAGTTTAAATGAAAAGCTATGGAGGACTGCAGCATAATCTGAAAGTGTTGAGATTTGTTTAGGATTACTAGTAAAAAATTTATGCTTGGTTGGCAACGCGTTGACTTAAACAAAAATCAAATGTCTCAATTCCTGTTTTTCTCTATTATTTAGATTTTTTCTTTAGTTTGTAAAGAAAAGCTTTAGGTTTAGAGAGGTCATTCTGCAGTTGGGCTATCACAATTTTCTTCCTGTGGGGAATGCATTAAAACTCCTACCAAAATTCCTCATGGAAGGAACGCGTTGCCTCAGAGTTGTTTTGTTTCAACTCCATGCTCTTTATGGTCAATTGGACATATCTCTTGT